ACGAAACAAGAGCACCAAATTCACGTGGTTCCTCGGGACAGACGACACAAAAGGAGGGCGGGGCATTGACAGTTTTCTTTACCTCGCTCAAGTCGGATGTCGACCATACGCAAGAGCTTGATGGCCGCTGCCCCTTGCCCCCTAATCTTGGGACTGCATTGCCGGCATCCAGCGCTTTCCAGCAGAAGTTGGTCTCCTGTGCGGGCCGTCTGGGAGATGAAAAAAGTATCCCGGACATCGATGATGGTGCGTTATGCCATCATTCAGCAACGGCACCCGTGCACCCACACACGCAATCGCAAGTTGGTCTACCTTGCAAGATGGTACGGTCGTAGATCTCGAAGTTGAGGGCTTCCAACGGAAACTTGAGAACGGGCAACGTTCCTGAATGGCTCCTTCGGTACACCTATCCATCCATACAGTCAAGAGAACCTGCCGCACAAACCATAGCAGCACCCAAAACCACGCACTACACATATTCTGTGCGACAGCTGAAAGGTCCGAATGTGAAAATTAGAGAGGCAGGCATCGCACGGCCGTTGCGGCCGAAAGCCAAAAGCACCCAACGATGCACGAAAATGAAAACTTCGTGAGGGTTTGCTAGGCACCCATGCATTTCCAGAAATGAATAGCCCAATAGCTCACCTCGCTGTCCAAAAGCATTGGGTCGCCATGCTGAGGACACTTTAGCAAGCCTCTCCAGCGCAGCCCTGGAAACTCCAACAGCACAAACCTCACGGAAGAGATGACGTACGAAAGCGCTGCCCACGGAGCAGGTTGGCTTTTATCGCCATATATCTGAGCGGTGAGCTCATTGTTGATGGACGAGTACTCTAAGACCACGGCGAAATCCCCGCTGCCATCTCGCGCGTCGCCAAAGCTGCCGTGGACAAGCACCCCAAAGCGCCAAAACGTCTGCACACCACCAATGCTGCAGCACCGAGTCAATACTTTTTCCATCGCACCCGCCGGCACACCGAGAAAAATCTTCCAGCTAGCGCTGAATACAGGGATGTTCTGCGAGCAGAACGTGTCGATCACTTTGCCCACACGCGCGGGGCGGCCGGGCTTTAGCCGAAGTAGAACTACCAACCCCCCGGCGTCATCGTTTTCGAGTGGAAACGTCAAACCCAGGGACACCAGGGTAGGGAGCACGTACTCGGACAAGCCAGCAGGCCATATGACATGCGCCAACCTGGGTTCGAGGATACCCTCGCTCTTGAGCCTGCGCCACGAAGCGATGTCCACCTGGTCGTGGAGGGTGATACACGAGTCGCCATTGTCCCCAAGCTTCACAAAGCCCTCGAAGGTCTCCTGGTCCTTGTGATTGAGCAAGGGCTTGAGAATCCTGGACAGCCAAACGACGTCCAGAAAGACGAACGTCTCGTGGCGAATGAGGGATCCATCGAACTCCCTGCACGCACGACGTTGTCGGCGCAAACACGTAGGCCGGTCGTCAGTCAAAACAAATCGACTTAGCTGTTGACGAGGAAACGGGCCGCTTAACTTCTGGTATAGATAAAAACTAGGTCAAGTACCGAATGCCCACGAAATGGAGGGGGGGGGATGCCCAAGAAATGGCGAGGAGGAATCCTCCGTGTGAACCCCAAGCAGAGAAATTACCTCTGGTGTAAACTGGGGTTGAGGATAGATGAGCGAAGGAACCAAAACCGTACGAGTCGGGGCCAGGAGGAATTTTCAAACGATGCGAAATGCTGAGAGAACGGCTGTTAACATCTGCGTCTTTCTCGAAAAGGGGGCACAACAATCTTCGAGAGTCCAACTTCCAATGTTTTCGAAGCGATGGAGGGCATCGATCAACGGTAAATGACAACACTGCTGATGATGGCAAACATTGTATCTCCACTGCTTGAGAGCTTGCTATACGTTATACCTGATTGAGAGTGCTCCTTCCAAGGCGTGTTCGGCGTTAGCGACCGTAATCTCTCTTTTCTCGAGCTCAAGAACTGCCTCCAGCCATTTTGCGCCGAGCTCCTCCACCGTGATCCCTCGATACATTTCTACCTTTGATGGTGCTGTTCTCGCCGCCTCTCGTTCGTCAGGGCCGGCCAACTTTCGCACTATCTCCTCCACGGGGTCCCTGTGCAAGTGGCATGACGTAGTTACAATGGACACAAGTAATTTTTCTTCGCCCATTTCGTCACAACTGTGCGGTAAAAAAAAAACGCAAAAAAAGGGCTGTGTCCAGATTTAGCTATGCCGAAGGCGATTTGAGCATACTCGAGATATTGACACCATTGTGGCTAAGGCAGACTCGCTGCATGCGGCATGCTGTTCTCTCAGAGATAAAAAAGGAGCAGGGGGTGAAAGCGCTTCTTCGTGCTCCGCCCCGCAAGAGTTGTTGGAGTACATAATACTGTATGGAGAATAGCATACACTTGAGGCCCGCTTTATAGCAAGGAACACTGACTCAACCCCCTAAGAACTAGGTCTCGGTTTGGGGACATTTCTTGTCCCGTGCCCCCCCCCCCAAAAAAGCCACGCTTGGTGTTTGCGTGGCAGAGATTAGAATTCACGCGTTTCAATTGCCGGTGGTGCACCCTTCCGTGCCGGGTCTCCGTGTCGGGCGGTACAGGGAAAGGTGGCGTGCCCACGGTGCCGAGGAGGGCGTGGGTTGGCACACTGCCCACGCAGAGTTCTTCCGCACCACTTGAGCAAATTTTTCACGCCTCGTCTACAGCTCCAGCGAAATCAAGAGGTTTTAGACAAGTTGAACGTCGCAAAACTTTTTCGGGGCCATTTAACTTGATTGAAGTACAGCGTTTTCAAACCGCAACTGTCCAGCTCTGGCCAATATTAGGCCCCCGGTCAGATTCTGACGCCATTTCTTAATTGGGTTCTAGACCCATGTTTATGGTTTCAAAATGTTGGAAATAAATCTTCAAATGTTGTCAAACATTTGCGCGCGAATATCTGTCAGAGGAACATTTGAGTACCGTTTTTATGCGCAACAATATCTTGTCGTGTGGTTTTCTCGGAATGCATCACAAGCGCGGCGGGAATCGTGGTCTACTGCTACCGAACGATTTGTGACAGACAAACTACAAATAAATGCGTCATGGAAACTGAACGTAACGAGCTCGCAAAGGGCTCCCCACACCCCTTGATGCACTGAGCTGATGCTGTGCCCGCCAGTATGTGGCGATAGCGCTCCGGGCGTGCGAGAAAGAATGTTCTCGGGGTCAAAAGGAGCTCAAAACGAGCGTAAGCGCTTCCAAACGGCACAAAAGTCGGCCGCTTGAGAGGACACGTTATCATAGAACAAAACTATCCAGCTCTCGCCCGCTAGACCATCGATTCATGTTTTGTCTTCTTGGGTGTCTTGTCCACCAACGACTCATCCGGTTGCGCGTGGGTTGGCGGTAGCCGTGCTCAGTCGGCAGGGAGGCACATCGTTGTGCGCGCAAAGGTTGTGGACACGACGTTTTTTTCGGGCTATGTTTCACTTGAATTTTTTCGGGCTGTTGTTCACTTCAATATAGAGGGCTTGTTCCTCCGCCCCAAAAAAGAATTTTCCACTAGATCGAGTTCACAGCGACGCGCCTCCCTGCCTGTTGAGTACGTCCACTGCTGAACCACGCTCACCCGGATGAGAGCCGCTGATGGAGAAGACACCCAACAAGACAAAACATGAATCGATGGTCTAGAGGACCAGAGCTGTATAGTTTTGTACAAACATAACGCCTCCTCTCAAGCAGCCGACTTTCTGCCGTTCGGAGACGTTTTCTCCGTGCCCTCCAAACAACCCCTGTCTGTTTTTTTTTTTTGTGCACGCTTGACGAGCTCCCGCCATGTATCAGCCGGCAAAACGTTGACACGGGGACTCTAGGGTTGTCCGGATCCCTCTATGAGCTTGCTACGTTGAGTGTGCGCTGCGCAGTGGTTGCTGTTTAGGACGGAAGGGGCGGTCGGCTACTAATCTCGCCGCTCTTGGACAAGATTTTCGCGACCTGCCCCATTTGAAAATGTTTTCGGAGGTTTTGCCGAAGATTTTCTCCTATACAAAGTGAAACAAAATCTTCATCCGCAAATCTCTGAAATCTTCCATTTTCGCAGAGTTTTGGCGACCATAAATATCGGTCCAAGGGGCGTAAGGGAAGGAGCTCAACTTTTCACGAAAAATAAGAAAAAGACAACAAGGAACATACCTCAAACTGGGCGACATGATTAGGAACATCCACAAAAGAAAGAGCAAGGATGTTCGCCTTCATAAGGCCGAGTCTTACGTCGTGATTATTTCGGACACTTTTTTTGGCGCACGGTCGAGGGGGGGTGGTCCGCAAGGGAAAAACTATCTGGATCCAAACGACCTTCTTACGGTTCCTCGAGGCATCTTTTTTTCTCCGGGGGGAAAAAGGCCGATTCAAGATCGTTGTGGATCACAACATGCTTCAGTTCACGGTTTCGGCTCGTCTGCTACCAACTAGACACCGAGCGCCCTGTTTTGGGTCGGCTGCTGAGGGCATGTGCATCGCACGCCAGTGGCTGCACTTTGTGCATGTCGTCGGCCAAAGGCCTCTCTCTGGCATGCGTTGTGGACTGATCACGCTCGGAGTACCAGAAAAGAAAAGGCAACATCCAAAAAAAGTCAACACCGCAACACACTTCCGTTCACGTATACAGGCCGGGTGCAATCAAAACTGGACAATATGCTCTGTTTCTGGGACGCGAGCAGAGCATGTGTATGACCACACGTCACTGGCTGCTGTTTGCGGATGTCGTCGACCAACGGCCTCTCTCTGGCATGCGTTTTCAACTGGTCACACATGCAGCAGGCGAATAAACGGCTCTTGTCGGCCGAAAGGCAAGAATGTCAGCTGAGCAATGCGGCAGGAATGACGTTTTCGGCTCGTGTGGGGCCAACACGACGCAGAACGCCCTGAACTTCAGCTACCTGGAGAGGGTTTGAACATGACCTCATGATACTAGCCCCTGTTTCGCCGGCAGACGGTGTAGTTCCTCGTTTTGGCACGATCGGGATGGGACCAAGGGGTATCCCCCCCCCCCATTTCTAACAGCGATATTCCAACCCGATTGCTGTTGGAAAATGGGCCAATTTTCAAACAGGTCGGCCGGAATCGCTGTTGGAATTTGGGCTGTTAGATTTGGGCTGCTGGAATTTGCCATTCTCCTACCCATAAGATGGCCAAATAATTTTTGGGGCTCAGCAAAAGACATTCCTTCCCCAAATCCAATCCGGAAAACATCAAGCCGTAAAGACTCAGCCTAAGATAGGAAACTATTAGGGAACCGGGGAGCTCGTGCGCATAAAAAACACACATGCGATTTGACGACCCGACAACCCAGACCCCCCCACCATCCGACGCAACCGTATTTTTGTTTCTGGTGGGGTTACAACTTGGCAGCGGCAGCTAGACTACAGTAGACAAGCGGTACGTGGTTGTATTTTCACATACCGTGCAGGTTGGTCGGGGTGTTCTCGTTCAGCTACACTGGGAGGGGGGTGTGGAGAGCAACGAATGATGCACGGACCAACTGCGTGTGAGACACGGAATACCCTGAATTATAAGGAATGACCATTTAAGAAAATCAGTAGGATCCGGTAGATAGACAGGAAACATATAAACATACATATGGGTGACGTCTATTGTAATTAATTATTGGGTTTGGGCAAACGATGTATACAAGAAATGTTTGTATCACCCACCGTACCCTACAGAATAGTTCTGTGCGTTTGTATTATCCCTCATACCATACAGAATACTTCTGTGTGATTTTGTGATGCCTCCGTACCCTATAGAATAGTTCTGTGACGTGCAGTCACAATACCCTATCTGCACAGAAAGTTCTGTATCATCCCCCGTACCCTACAGGATTATTCTGTGCGTGCTGTAACAGCCCCCGTACCCTACAGAACATATGGAAGGTTCTGTGATACCCCCTGTGAGAGTACCTGTACCCTACAGAACACACCCGTGCAGTACCCTACAGAACACACCTGTACCCTACAGAACACACCCGTGCAGTACCCTACAGAACACACCCGTGCAAACTGCAAGGGTGCGTTTTGTAGGGTACAGGTACTCTCTGTAGGGTACCGGGGGTGTCACAGAACTCACAGAACTATTCTGTATTGTGCGAGGGTGCTACAGAACCTCACAGAACTATTCTGTATTGTACGAGGGTGCTACAGAACCCACAGAACTATTCTGTATTGTGCGAGGGTGCTACAGAACTATTCTGTATTGTGCGAGGGTGTTACAGAACTATTCTGTAGGATACAGGGGGCGGCACAGAGATATTCTGTAGGGTACAGGGGGTGTTACGGAACTCTGTGTCTACAGAAGAGCCCCCGGTACTTACGCGGTACCCGTGAATTACCCTGCAGAACATGACGACTTTGACGACGTGCGTGTTTACGACGAAGGTACAGGAAGAGGGGCAAGGGCGCTATAGCATTGAACAAAATAGAAATCGTACCCAGCACTGAAATTAGCCTATCGTTCAAATCAAATCAACTGCCGTAGCCGCGCAGTACTTAGTTTACGACCGCGAAACTGAAGTTCGGTAACACAACACCCAAGAGCAGAAGCCTTAGCCTTCCCATGCGACTCCGACTCAACCTACTTTGACTGCTACGTCCTTCTTACGGAGTCAAAGAAAGAGGCTACTTATGAAACGCTCGCGACTTTCACACGCCGATGTCCGAGTTGTTGGTGTTCTCAATCACGTCGAAGGCAGCCTCAGCGGCCGCCAGGTCAGCATCCCCCCCGTTGAACCGTGGCGGCAGACATGTCCTGATATCCTTGGCGGCAATCATGGGAATGTCCTTGAACGCGGGGATACGCTTGTAGTTGACGTGGAGGAACATCACCATCTCTACCCAGTAGGTGTCGATGCGGCTCCTGTTGCGCGTGAGGAGATTAGCGCAACTACTGAAGTCGCGCTCTACCTGCGCGGCACCCGCCTGGTTTCCAAGCACCTGCTGCGCTACTGGCGCCAGGTACGGAAACATCTTGCGACCAGTGTTTCGCCACCAAGGCAGTACTTCCCGCGTGTCCAACTGCACAGCAGCATTACAGATCCAAGGGTGACAGGGACGAAGATAAGAAAACAACACGAAACACATCTGTGCAACTTTGCGCCACCGGGAAAAAAAAGTCAAACTGAAACTTCTTGCAGTTCGCATCCCTACTTTGACCTGTGACCGCGGTGAACTCAGATCCTTCCGGCCCTCCCTCCCGCTTGAAGCCCAAAATTAAAATTATTAACAACACTTTCATATAAACTGCAAGGAAGCTCACCTCTTCTGCCGTCATGTACAGCGCCTGAAAGCGCTCGAGTTCTTGGCTGACCTGCTGCATGAGCACCTTGTCCTCGCTGTCGCCCTCGCCCACGTCTTCAGTATCGCCGCGGACCCTGTTTCGTGCCAGGGAAGCAAACCTAGGCCTGGCTTTCGTGGCCGGCGTGGAGAGGCGCTTCAGAGGTGGTTGGCCGCCCTCTGCGGTCGCACGTGCCGAGTGTTTCTTCCGCGCAGCCTCCGACGCCCTCGCTTTGATGTCCGCCCAGCAATCGTTCAGTTTCTGGTCCACCTCGGTGTCGATGGTAGGGGCCAAGTGGGCTTTGCGTTGGTCAAGGTGCTGCGAGTCTGCAGCCGTCAAAGCATGCGCTTGGAGAAAGTTGGTGTCTTTGTACGACGGGGTGAGCAGCACGGAGGCGTTGCGGAAGGGAGAAGGGTCGGCGCTGTCCTGGTCCCAAACCCTTCGGTACAACTTCTCCACGAGGGTTTTGGTGAGCAACTCCCGGGTCTTGGTGGCGACGGGACGCAAGGCAGCCGGCTCCACCATCTTGTGCGGCAGCGACTTCTTTTTCTTCGGGACCTCCTCGTCCGCCTGCTCTGCTTCCGGGGAAACCGGCGTCGCCGGGATGTCGAACACCTTCAGCGGCTCGTCGGGGTC